GTCTAATATTCGCCGTAATCGCCATCGAGCTCATCGACCAGTTAGAAATGAAGACGCAAAAATAGCGGTTTTCGGACACATTACATTTGACAACACCCAAAGCACTCGAGGACTAACTACTTCTTCAGAATTTACACGCTCAACAGAATTTTAAAAGACAATAAATTTCATCCGAACTAGATAAAACTTGTCAATTACCTTAATGAAGACGAATTTGATAGAAGGTTGGAGTTTTGCGAATTATTGTCCCAACGTTTAGTCAACAATGGGAATCTGTTATTTAATATTTGTTTCTCTTTTGTGTGTACGTTCGATTTACATAGTGCTGTAAATAGACATATGGTAATTGTCGATATTGAAGTTACCCAAATCTACATTTGTATCGATAGGCACACTCACAAAATCCTGAAAAAATAAATGTGTGGGCCGGGGTTTTCGGCAATCATATTGTAGGACCTTTCTTTATTTCTGGAAACTTGACGGGCGAGACGTACTTGCACATTCAAGTTGTCCGTCAGCGGATTATGGCTGAACGTTGAAAAGTAACTCAAGACATGCTTGAAAATGTGAGGAATAGTTTCAAACAAAAGCTTTATTATTGCATGGAGGTAAATGGACACCATTTTCAGCACTTATTACTAATCTTTACTTTAACTTTAATGTGCGTGTAAACTGTAAATTGTTTTTTTTTGTTTTTTCAATACTCGGAGACTTGTTTTTAATTTTAAAGTAGAGTCTTGTTACTATTGGAACTATATTTATTTTTTTGTACTATATAGTCCTGTATTACCACAATTTCTAGAATCTTTTTATAAAAACTCAAATAGCTTCACAATGATTGAAAGTAGGTAGACACCTTATCATACAAAAGTTACTAAAAGCTTCTTGGAAAATCTAAAACGTAAAAAACGGGGGTTTATATTTAAAAATCTAAAGTGTAACGCAATATCTTATTTTTGGATCACCCTGTATTGGATGGCTATAGATGAAGAGACGTCCTCCTAGAAATCAAAATTGACGAGCCCGAGCGTTCTTCCCAAAATATACCATGTATATAAGCATAATTATAGGAGGCTTATCGAATGATATCTAATGGGATAGTTTTAAAAGCATTGTTGTGTAATGAGTGTGACGTTCATTCAATCTATCTGGATCATGCAACCATTCAACTTATTGTTATTGCTTTTTTTTTCTGTTCTGTCACTTTGCTTTGCTTTTTCATAGACAGGATTACTGTATTGTCTTTTTTGTCTTTATTGTTAATTATATATATCTGTACCTCAGAGCCAGACCAGGTTAAGTCCTAATAAGTAGTTTTGAGATAATTGAATTTGAAATATTTTTCTTGTATATTGTATTGTATGAGTCTTGAAATGAATAAAAAAGTCGTAACTTCCATATTATTACAGAAACATAGACGCGGCAAGTAGCAAATGAAAATTCACAATATTATCATAAGTTTAACATATGGAATTCATTTTTGACATAAATGGACTTAACCTAGACTGGATCGGGAGCACAGATATAGACTTGGCCTCCCTGATGTCTATTTATAAAGACATTTATGTTGATTATTATTGGCAAACTACATATCCTCCCAACAATCTGCACATTCGAAGATAAAAGATAATCAAGACAATAGGAGGATTACAAGAATTTCACAATTATGTCCTAGCAAAATAAAATATGATTGCATCTTGCTGCAAGAGTACTTTCAAAAATAAAATATATTCAAAGCATCGGCGTCAGTGCGTCGCTCTGTTTCCAGGCCCCGAGTGCAACAATGTATGATGAATAGCTGGGAGTTTTTCGACGGAACCGGTCGAAAAACCGAAGAACGAAAACAATAAATAAACATCAGGCAGCGTTCATCTTATAAAATTTTCTCGGGTTTAGAAAAGTGCCAAAACAATAAAACTCGAACAAACGCAGGCACAGTCAGGGGGTCGTGTACTCGACCTGCGTCATAAATATATGAGCCAATGCAAAATATCTTGCGGCACCTTCGGCACATTTACCAGTAGCGTAGGGCTAGTTACTCCTGAATAAGCAGCTGAAATAGTGAAAGCCAATAATTAAAAATAGGCATGCCGATGCAGGTATTCTGGCTCCCTTACTCATGAATGCAACGTTTTCAAAGCGTTTAGACAACATGCATTTAGCTCAAGTGATTGGCAGTGCTTCGGTATCCTTCGTGCTTTGAGTAACGTTCTACCAACATGCACATGTAGGCAGCACTGAAAAAAATTGAATCCGGGTTTTCTGCCGGATTAGGCCAGCGCGGGGCCTATAGTAAAATTATTATATTCAGAGGCCTAGGGCTGCTATTCTGCAACTCGTCGGAACTTACCGATTAACGACAGCTGTAGGTAAGTGCAACCAAAGACTTCATGCCCTAATAGCCTGGATGCAATGAGTTCGCGGAAAGTACTGCAATATGTACTGATAGATTTAATTTGCCATATCAACAGCTTGGATCAGAATTAAATTAGCCTGAACGATCAATAGACTACATAATATTGTAACAGATTTATTATGATATAAGTAATTATATGCCTGAATATAGATAAACTATTGAGGTTGTGAGGTGTCAACTTGTGGTTTAAAAAGCGGGGCATAACAACAAGGTACCAAAGTTGGAGCATAACTTAATGAGCTCAAAATACAATATACTGCAATGACAGGATTTGATATCTAGTTTCGGATGTGCAGTCGTTTCAGTTCGTTTTAGAGGAACGGTCGTTGCAGATTTCAGTCGCATAAATAACGAATAAGTAACATATCGTATACGTAGCGCATACTATTCAATTTCAATATTTCTTCATATTTTCAATTTTCAAACCTTAACATCACTTTTGGACTGTTTACCACGCTAGCTTTTTGAGGTTATTCCATATTAGGTTTTAATAATTAATTATTCAGTAACTTTTTTTAAATCCGTTTGTGGTGTTTGGTGAAACATGGCCATGCATTTTAATAATTTTTCAAAAAGCACCACTTTTTGCATATACTGTCTAAAGCTTGAGTTGTAATTTAAAACACTACACTTAGCATAATTTGTCGATTTGCCCAAAGGCGAGTTCTTCCAGTTACATAAACATACAAAAATTCCGCAAAAAGAAGGAAAGTGAATTCGAGCAGAAAATATGATCGGTAACCCAAGCGATAGGTATTTCTACTTGTTGGCTTCATGAGGCCCGAAATGAATGCACATATTATGCAACTACAAAAGTAGATACACAAGCATACATCCGGCACAGGTATCATGTAAAAAAGGTATAAAACGTAAAAAAACCTATAAGATGTCAACTTGCAGACTAGGTAGTTTTTAGGACGCAGTCACTTCACGTTTGCTCACTAGGATCGTTGTGAACTTTCAGCTATGGAGGACTACTCAACTAAACTACATATTATTGGTTGCATAGTTTTTGTGAGGCTGGATGATCCGGGTCTGTAGTTTTTATCTCTGAGAACAAAGTTGGTTGAATAGCAAGATCACATCTGGATGATTATGTGTATTGGTCTGCATGTCTATAAAATCAGTGATATTTGCTGTGTGAGAAAATCATTACTGAATATGCCAAATATGACGGGTTATTTATATGTTGTGCTTTCTCGAGAGAGGTTATGATCAAAGCTATAAATTACGAAAAAGAATTACGGGAAATCATCACCGCGCCCGCGTATGTAATTACTGTTAGCATGTATATGGTTTGTAACTCGACAGTGTACAGTGAATATAATTATTTCTTATCTCTCTCATTTTTGAAATTCAGCAAATTTGTATATGTAATTTCCAGAATGGATAAGAAAAAGAGTATGCGCAACTAATTTCTAGCTTTGAATCTCAATTAAGTGTATTTGAGACAAGAACCCAATCTAATTATCATCAACCCATATAACTTACATTTTAGACCTAAGGTAATGCCATCTCAGAAGCAGATTTTACATGACATCAGAGCCAAAGGTTGATAACAAGCCTCATGACGTTTAGGCAACACGTACAACTAAGTGCTAGGTTAAGATTTTGTAGAATAACCTACATAATGTCAAAAAAAAACAGCATAATGTCAAAAAAGATCGGCATAATGTCACTTTTCAAGATACGTGATACCCGTGCGGATAAGGGTGTAACTTGAGGAAACGAAGATGGAGAGAGAAAGAAAATCATACACTACTATGTATATCAAGAGGAAAGGAAAATAATACACGACTTTGTATATCATTTTCTTCCCCTTTCCATCGTCGTTTCCTCAGGTTACACCCGTATCCGGATGTATGGGCATATATTTTCAGTGTCCCTTACTGGTAAAATGATTAAATTTTCAACTTGATTCGTCAACATATGTAGGTGTTTACCTTTTTTTGTCACTCAGTATAATTCATCTAATATTAAATAGCAGATATTTCCCTTTATTATCTGACAAGACAATTAGCGATCCTACATAGAAAAGAACTATAGCAATCTTTAACATGAAAAAGTAAACGAAAAAAAATGCATCAACGAGCTAAAAATATAAAAGACGTCCTAGCCAGATATTTAACATGTAACATTTATTTAGTGCCACTCGTCTTGCCTTGGCCTTGTCTGTTTGTTTATTATTGTTATTAAGGCTGGTATGTTGATAGATATCTATAGATTTGGAAATTCTGCCGTAAATAGTGAGTATCTTTTAGCATTTACCATCGTCTATCGTCAGCAGTATTATTACCTACTGAGGCAGCAATGAGCTAATGGCTCTGTTTTTTATGAAAATAATCAGATACCCTTTCACGCAAAAACTTTGTTAAAATTTATATTGCATATATGTTTTTCTATATGCAACATATGCAGGATATCCATGGATCGAGTCATTTTTAAGGCGCAATAAGGATCTAGCAGTGAGAAAATCCGAAGGTATGTCAGCTGCTCGTTGTTTAAATATGAATAGAGAAGTTGTGGCATCTTATTTTAACCTATTGGAAAACACTCTGATAGAATATAATTTAATTAACAAACCAGCAAGAATCTACAATGTAGATGAGACAGGTCTACAAATGAACAACAAACCAGGCTTTGTTATTGCTCAGAGAGGTTCAAAACACGTATCGGCAGTGACATCAGCAGAAAAAGGCGAAACAATCTCCGTAATAACATCTTGCAATGCGGAGGGGTCATTTATACCACCAACGTGCATCTTTAAGGGTAAGAATCAGAAACCAGAGTTTGCCGATGGTATGCCACCAGGCTCCATAGTAGTCATGTCTGAGAAATCAGCTTAAGTCAATAATGTTTTATTTTTGAGGTGGCTTAAAGAACAGTTTGTCCCAAGGAAACCTCCGGGATATGTTATGTTAATCCTCGATGGACACTCATCGCATTGCAGCAGCGTAGAGACACTAGAATATGCTTCTGAAAATGAAATAATTTTTGTGTGTCTACCTAGTCACACAACTCAATTTCTTCAGCTCTAGACAGAGGAGTTTTTAAGTCACTAAAGGCGTTTTATTATGAAGAATGTAATGCTTTCATTAGAAGAAATCCCAATCGACGCATTAACAGATTGATTTTTGGACAATTACTCGCTGCAGCTTGGGAGAAATCAGCAACTGTTAAAAATGCGGTTTCATCTTTCAGAGCTACAGGAATTGTGCCTTTCAATCCGTCTGCGATTCCATATTACGCTTATCTTACTGACAAACCTCAGGGAGCTTCACCTAATGAACCTGAATCTCAACTTTTACCGAATGGTGAAATATCTGTTGACAATAGAAATGAATCTGCTCAGGATTCATCTATTATTGAAATATTCGAATCGGTAGTGAATGATTCAGCTGGACCATCTGATATGAAGACACCTGAGAAAGAAATAGATACCCTTGGAAAAATACTGGACAACATTAACCCGATTCCTATCCCTGAAGCAGTCTCTTCTGCGAGGAAGAGAGGTGGACAGTTGGCTTCTGTCTCGACCAGCAGCGATAATATTAGAAATAAGAAAAAGAAACTAGAAGAAAAATTACAAGCTGAGGCGAAGAAACGGAAAAAGAAAGAAAACAAGAAATGCATTAAACCAGGCCCTAGCCGAGTTCAAAGTAAGTCTACAAAACGGAAGCAATCTACATCTTCTTCTTCTAAAGAAGAAATAATATATGATGATTCCTCGGAATACGAAGATGAAACAAGTAAATGCGGTGGATGCGGAGATTTTTATTCCACCACCACAAAAATGGATGACTGGATTCAGTGTGTGACGTGTTCCAGATGGGTACATGAAGGGTGCACCAGATTTGACAATTTTTGTGATGCATGTGGAAAGTCGCAGCAATAATGAACTACTATATTTACTAGTTTTTGAATCGAGCCATCTCACCGAATACTATGGGCCAACTCACCCATATATTAAAGGAGAGATGGCTCAGTCTGATATTTTATTTTTTTCGTTTCTTTGAGAATAACATTTAAGTTTGATTATTTTTTCTGTTGTAATAATATTCTTCATATAAGCCTGGTTTAACCTAAGTTATTAAATGATTTTTCTGGGGTATAATAAAGATGTTATGTTGATTTGTAAAAAGGTGGGCCATCTGTCCTAGAATTACCCTAGTAGAACACACCAACTTTATCACTCCCTAATCAAATTTGCATAAAAGTAACACAAGTTGCAATTACAGCATATCAACCTATTTTCATTTCAATGCAAAATAAGTCTATAACGCATAGGTGGCTGTGGAAAATAAAAGCCATGACTATTGTTTTTATTAATCACAGCGGTCAGAATACGTTTAAAATAGTTTTGGGTAGATAAGGTTTTCAAAATGGGTAGAGGAAAGAGTATTAGTGAGAAAATTCGGTTACTGATAATTAAATCTTTTAATTCTGGGAAATCAAACTCAGAAATTGCAACTTGGTTATCGCGGTACAGTGTGAGGAATATTGTTAGAAGATATAACGTAACTGGTTCAGTTAATATTAAGCCACGATATGTGAAAAAAGTAATATCACAAATGCCGACCGAAGAGCATTAAGAAGAATAATCGTGAAAAACAGGCGTGCCAATTATTTACAATTAAGTGCTCTGTGGAGTGACGCTGTTGGAAGGAGAATTTCGAGGTCCACGACTCATAGAGAGGCCCACAAACTGGGATTTAGCACTTGCAAGGTAAGTTTTCTTATAAAAAAAAGTGAAGTAAAAATCCTAAAGTTGCACGGCTTAGATGGGCTAAAGAACATAGACAATGGACACCTCAACAATGGTGTGCAATACAATGGACTGATGAGGCCCGATTCGAAGTTTGTGTTGGTGACAGTCGCAGTAGAGTTATTCGCAAAAAATGAAGCATTCCATGTTGACTGTCTGAAGAGAAAAGTGAAATTTCTAGCATCAATTATGGTCTGGGGCAGTATGTCATCAAAAGGAGTAGGAAAACTTTATTTTGTTGATAGAAATGTGGATACAAACAAATATTTGGCAATTTTAGAAGAATCGCTTTTAGCAGTGATGGAAGAATGTTTGACATCCGGCCAAGATTTTGTGTTTCAGTAAGATGGTGCAGCGTGCCATACCTCAAAAAAAGCTATAAAATGGATGGAAGAAAATAATGTACCACTTTTGAAATGGGTTTCTAGCAGTCCAGATCTGTCACCTATTGAAACTTTGTGGCACGAGATGAAAAAGGTTCTATGACAACATCCTGCTCGTACAATCACCGAACTGAGACAAAAGTTTCAAGAAATATGGGATTGTTTTACACCAAATTTTTGCCAAAACTTGGTTAACACTATGCCCCAAAGAATTTCAGCCGTAATAAAAGATAAAGGTGATGTTACCCAACAGTAAGCTTTCAATTGTTGCTTTGTTAACTTCGCGCATTTATTCGCACATTGTTTATTTGTTCAGATGTTCTATTAGTTATAGGTCTAAGTGATTTTAAATATGTATTTTTTTACGACTAGAGTGTATCTAAAATGTTTTTGAGAAAATAAATTGTTATAGAAGTAAATAGTTTCGTCATGTGTAGTTTATAAAGGCATATTTTGGTACAAATCTTGAAGTGGGCCAACTGAAGTGGGAAGGGGCTCGTAGTCTACAGATGACATTTTATTGGTTATTTTTACACAATAACCGCACGGGTATCACGTATCTTGAAAGGTGACATCATGCCGATTTTTTTGACATTAGGCTGGATTTTTATGACATTATGTAGGCTATTCTACAAGATGTTAACTTAGCACTTAGTTGTACGTGTTGCCTAAACATCATGAGGCTTGTTATCAATCTTTGGCTCTGATGTGATGGAAAAACTCCTTCTGAGATGGCATTACTGGAGGTCTAAGCTGTAAGTTGTATGTGTTGATGATAATTACATTAGGTTCTTGTCTCGAATACACTTAATTGAGATTCAAAGCTAGAAATTAGTTGCGCATCCACTTTTTCTTATCCATTCTGGAAATTACATACAGATTGGCTGAATTTCAAAAATGAGAGAGATAAGAAATAATTATATTCAATGTACACTCTCGAATTACAAGCCATATACATGCTAACAGTCATTACACACAACGCGGGCGAGGTGATGGTTTCCCGTAATTCTGCTCAGTGTTTCGTAATTTACATCTTTGAACATAACCTCCTTTCAGAAAACACAACATATAAATAACCCGTCATATTCGGTAATGATTTTCTCACACAGCAAACATCACTGATTTTATACACACGCAGACCAATACACATAATCATCCAGATGCAATCTTGCTATTCAACCAACTTTCTTCTCAGAGATAAAAACTACAGACACGGATCACTCAGCCTCACAAAACTATGCAACCAATAATGCGTAGTTTAGTTTTGTGATTTCTCCATAGATGGACGTTCACAACGATCCTAGTGAGCAAACGTGGAATGACTGCGCCCTAAAAACTACCTAGTCTGCAAGTTGACATCTTATAGGTTTTTTTTGACGTTTTATAGGTTTTTTACATGATACCCGTGCCGTGCGGATCCCAGATACTGTCAACGACAAGTCACCGACTATTTGCTAGTCTTGCCAATCTTGATAATAATTTACCACTGTCTGTAATCACTGCACCAATCCTACCTTTCGTTCTGTGTCAAGGCAAATCTAGAGAATGGAAATCGACGGAGATTGAGTAAAACTATACTTTGACGTTACTCTTACTTCGTAGGTTATACAAATATGAGTACTTGCTATTCTAGCAATATTTTCTCCAGAAATTCATTTCTAAGGCGATCGTTAACGATGATAGGCATTGTAGTTTAACACATTATATCATTTCATATCAGAATTCCCTATGCAGTGTGCAAAAATTCAGATTCTTCGATGTTTTATAAACTAGTATTATGAAAATACAGGCTGGCCCAACGACAAGGTCGCACCCCCATTTGTGACTCTCCTGATATATTTTGAGAAAAATGCTCGGAACTGGTCAATTTTGATTTCTAGGGGACGTCTTTTCATCTGTAGCCGGTACAAAGTGATTCAAAAATGAGATTTTTCGTTACACTTAGGTTTCTAAATATAAAACCCCCATGTTTTTGATTTTTAGTTTTCCATGAAGCTTTTAGGAACTTTTATATAAACCTTATACCTACCTATCTCCAAACGTTGTGACGCTATTTGAGTTTTACTGCTGAATCGTAACTAGAGTTTTACCGGAGATCGAAATGTTTTAAAATGGACAAAGGACATAAGGCAAAACTGATACCGAGCACAACCATTATCGGGTACTGACTGTTTTCAAAACGTTTTCATCTCTTTGATAGTGCAAGGTGTACCTAGAGTATCATAATCTTCACGGTTGGCGCTGGTTTACCTCATTAATATTGCTTTAAAACGCACAGTATTTTGCGGCATACAGTACACGCGCCCAGACCGGCGGAAATAAATGACGTCTAGAAGACCAATGTGTAATTTGGAAATGATTATAGCTTCATTTGAAAAACTTAAACACAATGACTTTATTTTCTCTCGACATTTTCATTAAAATATGCTTTACTTTTTTAGGCAATGTCCCACAAAACTATGTTGGAACTTTTGTTTATAACTTTGTTTCGGTTTTACCTCTCACACACTAGTAGTGATCATCCTTCCACGCCTTCAGTCTTCCGTATCTCAATTGACACAGTGTATCGCACGTCTATGATGTGCGACTTAAACAAATCCATTATTCTTTTTGATAATTCAGTTGGCGTTTCAAATAAATCATAAGGGAGGAACAGTAGCAGGAGTAACGGCGCAGCGATGGAGTTATTCGGAAAACATGCAATCCCACTCGACTTATCGGTATGTTAAACTTCACTCAGATATGACTTTTGAATCCGATTATGGTGACGACGTTCTTCACGCAACTGTCATTGTTTTCCAGTCCGTGCTGGGATATCAGCGATGTAGCAGCAGAAAGTGCATATTGCTTCCATACTCATTTCCTGAACGGTTCAAGCTAACAAGCTAAAATTGGGAGTGATGAAATTGACGGATGAATACTATATCTTATCGCATAAATAACAGCTTTTTTGACATAGGAAGGCTTTTATAGCTACTCTCAGGCAGAAAAACTCGATAGTACTGCCCTGCCGAAGTGTAAGATTCTACATAAATGGCATATTCATTAAAACCACTCAGTCGTTCCCCACACATGTCGCCACGGTAATGCTCGCAGGATTTCTTCATGGTGGGTAACGTTGTACTAGGTTTTCATACCGAAGGTATTAGTCATCTATTCTCTATCGTACACATACATACTTTTATACCTATGTAGATGTACAACCAATCAAAATAGAAACCTACTATTGGTTTAGGTCCATTTTGTTCTCCCGTACCTTACTCAGCACCATTTGCCTCGCTCTTGATTGAGTTTTAACCCATCCCCCCTTGCGTATATTCATGGCAAAATTGTCAGCAATGAGACTGTCACCGAGCGTCAGTTCCAGCTGTGTCTAGTACCCAACTAACAATTATCACTCACTAGAGTTGCAAGAATGATTATACAGTATTCCTTAAACAGCATTGTATACTGTAAGAACATTGGCAAAACCCTCTTAGAACTGCTATACAAGCGGAATGGGCACACCTAATAGGACACTTCAATCATT